CCTAATTAATGAAGATCAACACCCTCTCTGCAATTTATAGTCTTAAGAGAATTGCCTAGGGACACTGAAAGTTACCAGATTTGCCCACAGACGCAGACTGTATGTGTCAGAGAACCAAGGTCTTCCTGACTCTGAGGCTACCTGCTTTACTCACTATTCTACCCTGCCACTCACATAGCACACAGTAGGCAATTAATAAATCGATTGTTGATTGATTGAGTCAGTGACTTGCCCAAGCTCACATGGATAGTAGGCATTAGAAGGATTTAAAAGCAGGTCCTCTGACTTAAGAGCAGATGCTCTTTCAACTATACCAAGCTATCTTTTGTTTGTTGTGAACAAAACATTTTAGCAACATCACGGATATGTTTTGAGTTTACCTAATTGCTAGAGAATTTTGTACCACATTTATGCAATTTAATACAGACTGTACTCTCACCCCATCCAGAATCAGCAAATTTTCTTCAGTATAGGAAGGGAGGCATAATAGAGTACAGTTGGCACCAAAGGACCTAGATGTGAATTTCAGTTGGCTCTGCTACTTACTACCTGTGTAAGCTTGGACAAATCTCTTAACTATTCTGGATTCCAGTTTCTTCATATAAAAAATGAAAGAATTGGACCAAGTAATCTCTTAAGATCCTTCCAGCTCTAAATGCTCTGAATATTTTTTATTGGACACTTAGTGCTGAACATTGTGCTGGGGTTGAGAATACAAAGATAAAACAATACTGTACTTACCCTCAGGAAGCTACAGTTCAAATAAGAGATCTATGTACTATCTATGAGTGACCTTGGCCAAGTTACTTAGTTTCTTCAAATGTAAAAAGAGAGGGTTGAACTAAGTGATCTCTATGGGCCTTCTAGCTATATTACACATATTGATGCTATGATTGTGGAAATATATACCATGTCCCCGTTTGACTATAATTAATGAAATGGCCATAATTAACACTTTGCTATAATCTGTTGTTGTAGAAACACATTCTCATTCAATCTGTTCTGATCCACCCAAGTATAGGTTTGTATCTCACTGTAATGTACAGGACTATACCAAGCACCTATGGTTTACCCTTAGAGTGAAAGAAATTTGTCCTTATTACACAAATAACTATAATATATAAAACCATCTCTGCATTACAGAGATGTAAAATAAGAGGCTATGTGAGGTGACTACGTGGTAAGAATGTAAATTTATTTTATTTGGGGGTTTCATAGAGGCTTTTGGATAAAAGGAGGCATAGTCAAACTCTTCTGTCCATTTCCCCTAACATTTAGCAGCAAATGATCTCTAAATGAGTAATTTTGTGCTAAGCCAGTGGCCTCCTCAAAAAGAAAAAAAATACAGTGCATCCATAGACCATATATCCTACTGAAGTTTATTGAAGAATATTCTCTTTCACAGCCAACAGAACTCTCAGGGATTGAAGATAGGGGATGCTGTGGTTCTTCTACTCTGTTTCTTTGGTCAGGCCTCCATCAGTTATTAGGGATAGGCATGTTCTACAGCAGCAAACAAGCTAATGAGGGCAGAAGCATCAAAGGTGGTTTCTTAGCTTTCCTCTTATAGAGAGAAAACATTTCATCTATGATATGTTAGTAATATTTCATCAGTTTTATTTGCTTCTTCCATCTACTTCAATTTACTTAATCAATCCATCTGGGGAAGTGACTAGGTGTTCTGTTACCTCTGTACCCAGATCTATATGCCTTGGGATCTTTAAGCATTATAACTGGCAAAGGAGGGAGGAAAAAAAGGAAGGAGAACAAATCTGACTCATTCAATGACTTATTTTACAAATTTATTGTTCACCCTTCTCTCTACTGGGCCTTGTCTGACATTTGTGAAATACTTTATGAAAATTTCCCAGAGGCCAGGGGCTTCCTCGTCTACACAGATGGCCCACTAAAGCCCACTGGTAATTTGGATAAGGGGCTTCATGGCTTAGTGAATGCAAGTTAGCAAATTATTTTTAAGTGTCATTTAATTTGTTCATGCCCAGAATTTCTGACTTGATTCTTAATTCTCCCAAGCTAGTCTCCGGACTTTAAAGTATGCTACTTACATAGGTGCAGTAAGCAGTTTTAATTTAGTATCTTATAGATTGGGGTATCTGCCATTAATGAACAAGATCAACAGATACCAACATGAGATAAGAATCGGCCACTAGAATATGACTAGCATTACCAACATTTCATGGAGAAGGTGTAATTAAAGTTGAACTTTAAAAGATAGGTCAGAGGGGCAGCTAGGTGGCCCACTGGATAGAGAACCAGACCTAGAGTCAAGAGAACCTGAGTTCAAATACAGTGTCAGACAGTTGATACTTACTAGCTGTGTGACCCTGGGCAAGTCACTTAACCCCAATTGCCTTGCAAAAAAAAGAACCAAAAATAAATCTATGACTCTAAAAGATGGGTAAGAGTTCAACAGGTAAAAATAATTAAAGAGGATATTCTGGAGTTAAGGAAAGAATGAACAGAGTGCAGAGACCAGGCACGTTTGGGATGCAGAATAATCTAGTTTAGCTAACAGACTATATGAATAGGAGTTATATGAGTAAAGGCTGAAAAGTTAGTGACATCAGATTGTGGAGACCTCAGGTTGAATTTTGCTCAGTAATAACAAAAGCTTATATATATACAGTTTCTAAAGATTCACAAAGTACTTTAACAATAGACCTGTAGTTGAACTCTTGACAAATTTTATAGATAAAGAAACTGAGGCTTGTACAGTTTAAATTTATCTGCCCAGAGTCACACAGCTAGTAAATATGGGAGCCAGAATTTGAACCCAATTCTTTTGACTTTAAGACCCATAATCTAATCATACATAATTAGAACATTTGGACAATAATAATGAGCTAGTGAAGTTTTTTAACAGAAGATTGACCAGAACTATGCAATAGAAATTATTCTGGCAGTAATATGAAGTATGCATTAGATGGTGGAAAGACTATAGGTGAAAAGACCTTAAGTAGTCTTAAGGGCCCATAGTGGGGTAGTGGTAGAAATAAGAGGAAGTCATAAATGAGATGTTGTTGAAGTAGAATTTGACTAACTTCATAACTGATGAGATAACCTGGTATGGAAGAAGGAAGAGTAAAAGATAACAATGTTGTCTCAGACTGAGTGAATGTCTGGTGTCACTAACAGAAATGGTCAAAACTATAGGAAAGCAGGTTATTGGGAAAGATAGTAAGATTTAGAAACGAAAGGATCTTTAATGAATAAAGGCCATAGTTCAACGCACTTATTTTATAAATAAGGACAGTGCAGCTTTTGAGGTACTAGCAGGACATCCACGTGAAAATGTCCTGTAGGCAGCTGGAATTTGCAGGCCTGGAGCTAAAAATAAAAGACAGGGTGAGAGATATAGATTAATCTGCATAAAAGCAGCAGTTGAAGTCATGGAAGTACATACAATTTCCAAGGGAGAGAGTGTAGAGAGTGAAGAGAATAGGATCAAAGCAAAATCATGAGATTCTCCCATGTTAAAGAGTACAGAAAAGGGCAAAGAGCCAATGAAGAAGACAAAGGAGAAACCTGTCTGAGGGCAGGAAGGAGAGCCCACCGTGGAGTGCCTGCCCTTGAAGTCAAAAGAAAGAAAGAATATATTTTGAAAAAAAAATTTTTTTATGTTTAGGCAATTGGGTTTAAGTGACTTGCCTAGGGTCACGCAGAAGTGTTTGGTCTGAGGCAAGATTTGAACTGAGGTCCTCCTGACTTCAGGGCTGGTGCTCTATCCACTGCACCATCTAGATGCCTCCCAAGAATATATTTTAATAAGAAATTTCTTACAATATCAGAAGTTTCAGGGATATCAAGAAGGATAAGAACTGAAGAAAAAAAGCCATTATAACATGAATCAGGAATCATTGGTAACCTCTGAGAGTAATTTCATTAGAGTGGTAAGGTTGAAAGCCAGATTCCCAGGATTAAGAAGAGAGTAGGTGGTGATGAAGTAAAGCCATTTGTTACAGACAGCTTTTTTAAGAAGTCTAACAGTAATGGGGCAGTTAGGTGGCACAGTAGATAGAGCACTGGCCCTGGATTCAGGAGGACCTGAGTTCGAATCCGGCCTCAGATATATAACACTCACTAACTGTGTGACCCTGGGCAAGTCCCTTAACCCCATTGCCTAACCAAAAAAAAAAAAAAGACAAGAAGTCTAGCAATGAAGGGAAGGAAAGGGATGGGATGGTAAACAGATGGTATACAAGAGTCAAAGGAAGGCTATTTTTTCTTAACTATTGGGGAGATTCAAACAGTCTTGAAGGCAGATGGGAAGCAACTGAGAACAAGAGACTGAAAATGCCTGAAAGAAAAGAAAACTACTATACTAAGGTCCTAAAGGAGGTGAGCTTGCTATTTTTAAAAGCCCAGTTAATCTGGTGGTAAAGAATGCAAATATCCCGCTTTTTATTTGCTCCAAAAGCTGAGTTGTTAATATATCATATTTTAGTTGGACATTCTTATATTTGTTATGAATATTTATACTGTACCATATGATTTATTTATTTAAATTATCTTGGTAGTAATCTTTAAGTTGTAATAGTCTGAGTTTCTAATTGTTACCAGTATATTAGGAATGGAAATTTTATGGAGAGGTCAGGAATTCAGGGCTACTCACACACACATAGTCTGAACTTCCCCCTTAATCTTTCTGAGGCTAAGATAAATCCTTTGCATTGATCCATTCAAATCCCATCATGCCCCAGCAACTAGTACCTAGGCAAAGTAAAAGAGGTACTTAGAAACATTGAAGTGAAACAAACTGAAGTGAAGCTAGCAGCCTTTGCCCTACATTCTTACTGCCATGGCAAAGATCTCTCCGAGGTTTATACTTTAAACAAAAAGAATATACTAATATGAGGGAAGATATACTAATGAGGAATTCCTTTAACCTTGATGAGAATGACAGAAATAATTTTTCAGTGTATATTGTCAACCAGGTGAAACCCACCCCTCAAAATGCCGAGGAGTCCAAGCTAGGTGGAAAGCAGAAGTTTTATTAGGAGGAAAATCAGATACTAGAGCTAAAACCCCCAGTACAAGGTACAAAAGAGGCCACAGTCCAGGAGAGGCAGGGGAGATTTATGCTTGAAAGCCACAAAGGGGAGGTTCAGGGAGGGGTTGGGGAAAAGAATGGACAATCTTTCCCAAGAACAGGTGGACATAGAAGCAAGGTGTTTTACAGGAGAACAGTTGACTGCAAGGCTGGTTTGGACCAGTTTGGGGCCAGGAGGTAGAGAGGAGCTCAGCAAGGTCAGTCAGTGAATACCAGCAAAGACATCTGGGAGTCAGCAAGACTTTGACTCACTGCAGACTCCTGATTCACTCCTTTCAGCAAACAGGCTTACTCTGTGTCCACTGCATCTACCTGGTAAGGTAATTCATAGAAAACAGACATATTAATCGCAGGAGGGTACTTTCATATTCCTCCCCTTTTGATCAAGGTGGCCATAGGGCCCACTGCTGACCAAGGAGGCATGATCTATTACTACCCTGTGTGGTTTCCCCTTGCACAGATCTAACAAGATGTGAGGTTGCCATTTTTCCTAGAGCTTGAAGTGGACTCTTGAGGGGGTTTTGGCTTCCTTCTCCTCCATTAGCAATGGGGAAGGCAGAAAAGAACAGAAAAGAAGAATAAAAGGGAGCCATGACAAATTAGCAGAGTCCACAAACAAAAGAAAACCCAACGTGATTGTTTGGTGGTCAGGGGTGCCATATACTCAACCCATGTCCAGAGTCTTGGGGCAGCAGTCTTTTTGAGATGTCATCCCAGGGCACTTGAAGTAGACCTTGAGGTCTTCACCTGGTTTGGTGGTCCACTTGGGGATTGAATCCTTCTTCAGATGATCCAGGAGTCCACTCCCTCAAATCTGGCAGCTTTGGGAGTACTCAGAAGGACCTGGTAAGGGCCAATTCCATGAATTCAGAAAATATCTGTAACATGGAAACAATAACCGATTGATCAGTATGGTGCCAGTTTTTAGATAAGACATATGGGTTGCTTGAGATCGACAATTATGAGAAAATTCTTTGCATCAATATTTGGATCTGACTGACTTTATTGTCAACATATTATGGGTCCTTGCTTAAGGGTATCTAAAGAACACGTAGAGATGGTCCAGTTTCCCAGGCTAGGTTCAAAAAATATAATAAGGTTTTCTCCCAATTTCCACAATTGAATAAAGTTTTTTCACAATACAGAAGTTGGACAAGACTCATCATTGAATACATACTAAGCTAGCTCCAGGATTGAGTCCCAAGATGAAGTCAGTGTGATTCAGTCAATCCCACTATAACAATTTGCTGTCCTAATCCCTTTAATTCACTCAGTTGTCCCTTTTTGCTTTTTGGGGAAATGAGCAACCCATTCCTTCCATGGATCACTTATCTATATGCCAAATCAATGAGGTTTTTCCTAAATTTATAATCATAATTATATTGCCAGGTCACATTAATGTCAGGTTACAGATCAAACTAGTTAGGGGGCTCACAATGGGCTAGTTTTGAAAAGAGATTCACATGTCACCAAGGTAACCAAGAAACCTTAAATATAAAGATCATGAAAGGAAAGATCATAGCAACACAATAATTATCACCAATATAAACTAACATCGTCTCCTTGTACCCTACTAATCCATTCTCAGTCCATTTAGTCAGCACATTTTGAGTCCCAGATGTCTCATGTAGTTACCTGGTCCTTAGATATCTTCTCTTGGACAATAGGCTTTATTTTCAGGACAGCTCTGAAAAGGGCTCTGCTCCTTTGCTTCCAAAGCTGGAAGTTCCTAGATAATTCTGCTAGTAACAGGACTTAATAAAATTTAGTATAATAACTTAAATTTGGTTCTCCAATCTTGAAACTTCAGAGAATTTCAGTTTGTATACCATTTGCTATTTCTATCCTTACCTAAATCCTATACCTGATATAAGAATCTTTTTTAAAAAAGAATTTATGAGGTACTTTTCTATTTCTTAGCCGGCACCAGATAGTTTTGATAATTACTGCATTATAATATAGTTTAAGATCTGCTGTTGCTAAACCTCTTTTCTTTACATTTTTTATTAGTTCCTTTGATACTCTTGGCTTTTTGTTCTTCATTTTTTATTATACTGGCCCTGCCTACCCATGAACAATTTAGATTTCTCCAATTATTTAAATCTGATATAGTGCCTGGGTTTGTTTTGATAGTCGTACTTCCAGGTGTTTTATACTGTCTAGAGCAGATCTGCACAACTTGGCAATAGGTAGGATCCAAAATTAAAACAGGCTAAACTTCTTCAGGCTTCACATAAGTTAGACTAGAGACAGACTGGCAATGGTTGGTTGCCTCAGGTCACATGACAAACAGCACAGTGCTCAGTGGCAACCCTACATTTTTCAAGGGCTGGCTGAAATCTTTTGTCAGGCCACAAGTCACCCACAGGCCGTGTGTTGTGCAGGCCTGGTCTAGAGTTATTTTAAATGGGGTATCTCCTACCATCTGTTCTTTCAGGGTTTTGTTTGTGATATGTAGAAATGCTGATGATTTACGTAGATTTACTTTCTATCCTGCAAAAATTTTTAATTGTTTCAACTAACTTTTTAGTTGTTTTGGGGTTTTTCCAAATATATTACCATATTGTCTGCAAAAAGGGATAGTTTTATTATCTCATTCCCTGTTTTGATTCCTTCTATTTTTTTCTTTTTTTGCTAGGATTTCCAATACAATATTGAATAATATTGGTGACAGTGGGAATCCTTGTTTCACACCTGATCTTACTAGGAAGACTTCTAGCTTATCCACATTGCAAATCATGATTACTGATGGTCTTAGATAAACACTTTTTATCAATTTAAGAAAAACTTATTTATACCTATAATTTCAAATCATTTTAATAGAAATGAGTGTTATTCTTTATCAGAAGCTTTTTCTACATCTATTGATAAAATCATATGATTTTTTTCTTTTATTATTGACATAATCCATTATGTTAATAGTTTTCCTTATGCTAAATTATCCCTGAATTCCTGGTATAAATCCCACTTGATCATAATGTATAATGTTTGTATTATATTGTTGTGATCTTTTAGCTCATATTTTATTTAGGATTTTTGCATTCATATTCATTAATGAAACTGGTCTGTAATTTTCTTTCTCTGTTTTTATTCTTCCTGGTTTTAGTTATCAGTGTTGTATTTGTTTATAAAAGGAGTTTGATAGGATCCTTTCTTTGCCTATTTTTCTAAAGAATTTGTTTAATATTGGAATTAATTGATCTTTAAATGTTTGATAGAATTCACTTGTAAATATGCCTAGTCCTGGTGCTTTTTTTGTAGGAAACTCATTTATGACCTGTTCTTCTGCCTTTTAAAATTATCAGAGCTACTTTAAAAATGAGAAAATAATTTCACTTTCTTTACCATAATCAATACAATTGCATATGTAAAGTCTTTAATCCAATTTTGAGAACTTGTTACTAAAACATGCTTAAAGCCTGAATTTTCATGGTAGATAAATTTGAAAACCAATCATAAACATGTATATTCTTCCTAAAGAAAACAGTCTAATCCTGTTGCTTTCTTAAATTTTACTATTTCATTTAATTAGAAAACTTTTACATTGCATCTTTGTCTTATTACTTTATCTAATCATTCCCCCTTTGGAAAGATATTATCCCTATGTTAAAAATTTACAACAAATAAAGGTTAAAATTGTAAGATATTCATACTTACGTCCTATTATAGTAACTCAGAGACATTCCAGTATCAATTTATTATTTAACAGATTTAGTATTGTACTTACAAAACTTCTTGATTACAAAAATTTCCTATAAAAGGAAAAGAAGGGACATAGTTAGAACAATATCATATCACAACAGGGAGAAAACTCCCTTAGCTTTATTTGATTCTAGGCATGAGTCATATCTGACAGCCAATCATGTAGTCATAGGGTATCAGAAGCAAAAATCAGGATTAACCAGGGGGGAGAATTACTCTTCAGAAAGGAAATAGCACAATGGAGAAATAAAGTCAAAAGGATCCTACTTTAAGCCATGGTCATCCTCAAAACTTTTTTCCAGGCATACACCTTGAGCAGTTCCCAGACTACAGCACGTGCCATTTTCTACCATTGGCTTTGTGAGAATTCAGACAACCGTTCCTGTAATCAATGGTCAAAACAATAGTAAAAGAATTTTTACCTTAAGTAGCAAACTTTCACTAACCACAATTTAAGGCTTGAATATCTTTCCTGACATTTCCCTAACAGTTAACATTTCATTTATCCTTTACTTATAAATTAAAACTAACCATAGTCTTCAGATATACAGCAAATAACTGATACTTGACTCATCATTAATATGTTGAAGCTACATCTTTAAACCACTTTATACACTTTTGCAATAGCCAGGATTTTCAAATGAAAATTTGTCATAATGGTAAACATTATCATTATTATTTGTTTTATAACAAAATATATCTCGTTAAATATTGAACAGTTTTCAAATATTTGTTTTTGTCATATCCTTTTAAAAGATCAATTCATAATCTAATAACATGCAGATTAAAAAGAAGCTGTTTTGTCTAATAGCATTTTTGTTACAATGGTCTCTCAAATTTCATAATATAAGAGAATTTAGAAATACAAAACTTATTACCAGTCAGATGACATAAATTCAGTTGAATGCATTTCCAAATTATCCCATTTAAAAATCATCAATCCTATTACCTTTGGCATTTTAAACCCACTTTAGAGTTATCAGGCATGGAACAATTATACTCAACAAAAGAAATAATAATAATGTAGTGCTTAGCATATGCCAGTCACTATGTTAAGCACTTTACAATCATTATATTATTTTGATGCTCAGAACAACTCCAGGAGGTGGGAACTATTATTACTTTTCTTTTTACAAATCAGAAAACTGAGGCAAACAGATATAAGATAACTTGCTTAAGATTACACAGCTAATAAATTTCTGCAAGTGGAATGTAATTCAAGTTTCCCTACATTTTTCCAGCATTTTTTTTCAACACCTTTATTTGGGAACCTGATCTAAGATGAAAGGGGTTAACAGGATAAGAGAGAGAGAGTCTCTAAACTGAAGGGAAGGGGTGGGGGTAACAGAATCTACAAACACCACAAACATGGCACAAAACAAAGATTTTCCTACATTTTATAAAAATACAAACACAGACAAAACAATAAGACAGACACACAGAATATAAAGAAGAAACCCCTTTTAGGGGGAGGTGGTTAGAAGCCATCACTTAAAGTTGCCCAGCAAAACCAAAAGTTCATCTGATCAGAATAATTTTACTCATTTACACGTTAAAACTCTGTCATTGTGTGTGACCATCTTTTACACTTAACAATTAGTCAAGGCCTTCTTTGATTACATTGAAGGTGAAAACTCCTGTCCTTACAAAAGAAATGGTAATGATTAACAGGTCTAACTTATTAATAGAGAAATGAATAGTCTCATTTTTTTGTACTGCTATGAAATGGGTATTCTCATTCATTCTAGGTTGGTCCATCTAGTTACAGATTTGTATATTGTCTAGTGGCATAGGAAATGACCATGCTATAGTTGAAGTTTTTAGTTTGTCACAAGGGTATTCAGGATTAGGAGCTGCAGAGCGACTCTGTGCCTCCGCATTACTGATGCATTAAGCTGAGCCACCTAGAAGGTATTTAAATGAACCTCCCCCCTTCTCCCCCATTATTTCTGTTTCACTAACAAGTTCCTCCTTATTGGTCAAAATAAAGTTTAAAATCTCAGTGGCTATTGCCACTTCTCTTTGAAGAATGACATAATCATTGGGGCAAGTCATATGTACTTTTAGCAGAGAAAGCACTCTACCAGATATGTAGCTAGTTGAATTTCACTATCATATTAAGTCTCCGTACTAGATTTGTGACCTATTTCTTGAACTCATCATCTACGCATTCCTGACTAGGTGGTTTGTTGTAAATGCTGTGGAAGTATCTCTTGAGATTAATATTTCTGTTTTCTATGAGTTACCTTACCAGTCAGATGCATTGGACACAGAGTAATCCTGTTTGCTGAAAGGAGCTGCAGTGAGCCCAATTCTTGCGCACTCCCAGATGCCTTTGCTGGTGTTTGCTGGCTGACCTTGCTGAGCTATGCCACCTCAAACTGGCCCAAACCAGTCTTGCAGTCAACTGTTCCTGTAAAACATCTTGCTTCTATGTCCACCTGTTCTTGGGAAAGATTGTCCATTCTTTTCCCCAACCCCTTCCTGAACCTCCCTTTGTGGTTTTCAAGCATAAATCTCCCCTGCCTCTCCTGGGCTCTGGGCTCCTTTGTACCTTGTACTGGGGGTTTTGGTTCTAGTGTCTGATTTTTCTCCTAATACAACTTTTCTGCTTTCAACCCAACTTGGACTCCTCTGCATTTTTAGGGGTGGGTTTCACCTGGTTGTTATTTCTGGTGTCAGAAGTGGGATCCTTTATGGTGAGGAGTTTCTTTGAGACCACTGGTTGGGGAGTGATCTTTGATGTCCAGCCTGCCATCTTCCCCTTGGGAGTCCAGTAAGTGCCTCCCTACTTGAATCCTGAAATGCCCATCTGTTTCGGTTGAGTTATTTTATTATGAGGGTTTGGATACCCCAGAGATGCCCTGGTGGATAAAGGCCTGGCAGAGGTAACATTGATTAATGACTGAAGCTGAAAAGTCTCAGAGGTTCATGGTCATGGGATGGTGACTCCAATGTGGGCACCACAGGGCAGGCACCCCATTGGTGGGGAACCAATGAAGACCCCATGGGTGGGGACCAGTGAAAACCTGTGGAGTGAGACTGATGTGTCCTGGGTTTTACAGTTTAGTCAGCAACTGA